CTAAGGCAAATAAAGTGCTAGATGGAGGCAGATGTTGTTGTAATTGAGGTCTTTTTTCTTATTTGAAGGGACCAATTTCTAAAGGTCATTGATGGAACTTGATGGAAATAAGCCTTTAAAGTGTGAATATTGATGGCTGAATAAAGTGAGTCTTCAGAAGGAAGACTGCAAAAAACCATAACTATTTTTAAAAAATTATGGGTCAAATTTTTCTCTCACTTGGGGCACTATAAATCTGAAGTCATCTGAAGAAATCATTGACTTCAGTGTAAATGAGGTTGCAGCCTTCCTCAATGGAATGAGCTTAAGATTTTTATACTCATAAAGGAGAACAGAATAAAATTTACTATGATTTTGTCACAGCCCTGGCAGAAAGGAAGAGAAGAGATTATGATTGTCAGACATCCTTAAGAAGGTTTCTTTTTTCTCTCTTTGGACGTGTCTTGCTCTGGTACCTTGTTGTACCTGGCAGGGATGTGCCCGGTGTGGCAGAGCACACCACTGGCTGCCAGCCATTCCTTGTAGCTCGGGTGTCCTGCAGCTCCTCTCCTGCAGTGCATCATTTGGACAACCTACATGGGCATAAGAAGGAGCTCTGTGACACTTACTTCCTATAACAACCCTCAACATTTAGTACTTTTGGTCCTAGAAAAGACACTGAATGAACGTTTGAAGCATTGATACCTTCACTAGTGTACAGGCTGGAAGGGAAACAAAAGCTCAATTACATTCAATTGCTTTTCTGTTACCGGATTGTCCTCTGACTGGGTTTGCTTTAATTCTTTGTTTTAGTTCTCAGTCTTATGATATGGCATCAACAATCTTATATTTCTGTTGAGGAATGCCTTTGCCTTCTCTGTTGCTGACACAGAAAGTATGTATGGCTATATTAATTGTTTTTATTTTATGAAAGTTTTTATTTTTAGATATACCAAAAAAAAAAAAAAAAAAAAGGGATTCTGTCATTCAAGTAACATTTTTGCATAAGAAAAATTCCCATACTGAAATAACAGTAATCTATAGTTACATGCATATTTATTTTGTAGTTATATTGTTTCTATTATGCATTTTAATATAACACTGTATTTTATAAGTACATAATTGATGTGTTTATATAAATCATATAGATTTATAAAAATAAAAATAATACCTTAACAAAATCCACAGATTTGTAGAGCAAATGTTTATGGCTGCTAGAAACTTTTGAAGGATGTCATTTTTAATACTTTCCTGACACAATCTTAACTGTCATAGTGCAAACAGTCCTACTAAAATTCATCTCCTTTGGACAGCTGGTATGGTGTGATACCTAGCAGATAAAAGAAATCAAGGAGAAGATTCAGGATAGCCCAGAATACAGGAGTGAGATATAACACATCACAGGTAACAGTCTCTCTTAGCCAAAAAAATAAAAAAAGGGGAGGTCAAATAAGTTCATCCTTCTGTGTATAACATAGAGCTCAAATACACAGCTCCTCTCCAGACAAATGGAAGATAAATTTACCAACATCCTAGGAAAAAAGGATGGATCGATGACGAGAATTATGCAGCATGATAGCAAGCTCTAGTACCGTAGAAATGGAGAGCTGAGCAATAGAGATGTTTTGAGTAGGAAAATCAGGGGGAAGCTGGCAGGAGAAGGGATTGTCACCATGACAAGGGGTGACAGCTGGGAGGATGCTAGCTGCTGTTTGGCATGCCTGAGGAGTGCAGACACAAAATTAACTAGGCAGAGAGACATGCACAAAAGAACAAGATTGCTGAGGAAAAGAAGTAAGTCATGGATTAGCGATCATCCAGTAAGCAAAACAAATGCAGATAAAGTTCAAAAAAAAAAAGAATCTAAAAGGAGCATGTACATTGCAAGGTAGATTGCTGTGTGGGTCAGACTTGGGATAACTCTTGGGCCTTCGTAAGGCAGGAAAACTATAATTGACTTTAACCGATTTATAGGAACTCTTCAAAGACAAATGTAAGCAGTTGTTGTTTTCAATAATGTTTACTACAGAACACTGCAGCCTGGCTCTGGTTTGATTCTTAGAGGAACTGTATGCTGCTAGTCTTTCAAATAGCAGCAATAAATAATCCCAAGTGTTTATATAACGCAGCAGTAGGTAGCAAAGACCATTTTTTATTAGTACTCCAGTGTTCCTCTCTATTACCATAGTATCTACGCTGCACGTAGCTACTAATACAGTTACGAAAGACACTACACATCACAGAAGTGCCTTGTTATTGTTGTGCCTAGTGCCCAGTTGTTGTTGGTATGTTTGGGTTCTGTTGTTGTTTTTCAAGTTAAAAAGCTGCAAGGAAAAATCTTCCACAATTTCTCAGGTAACAATTGTTTTTCAGAAACTCAGTTTTCCTAATTAAAATTGCTATTTCCAAGGTAAATAGTCTTTTGTTTAAGGAGAGAAGAATAAATTTTGAATAAATAACTTCTAGAATTAAGCAAAAATAATTCTATTAAATGCTGCTTTGGAAGGATTGTTAGTAGTCTGGTCTGGATAGACTTACAAGTTTTTCCGTACAGACCTGTAAAAGCAACATGACAAAACTAACTGACTTCTGCAAAAAGGTTCATAAATATCCCCCTTTACTACATTGATCATGTTTTCATGCAGAATCTGATCAAAGAGCACTCTCAAAATCCCTACATTTTTACAAGTTTGATTCTGATCACTAAAAGTGATTTTTTTGTCCATTTGTATGCACAAATTTCTTTACTTTCTAGCTGGTGATGTATTTTTCAAGCCTGCCAGGAGTCTGACAAATATGGGAAAGTCAAAACAACAGAAAATTAGATTCAAGGATAGATTTAGTAATGTCATAATTTTAATCTGGTCATAGTTAAAGCTTCCCATTACTTCAAAAAATAAACATTATTTGATCTGATCTTTCTGCCTCAAAATATTGCATTTCAGTCACGATTTTGGTATATAATCACCAAAACTTGAACTGAATTCATTGAACAGCCTGCTAACACAACAGATAGTAGAAGAGCAAGTAGCAGCAGCTGGCAAACATTTGTTAATTTATTAGGACATTACTAAAATTGTTTTCAGGCACCTGAATAAATATTGGCAATATGGTTTTGTTACAATTCTGAAAATTTTCTCTTTGAATTGAGACCACGCAGTGCACACACATGACTTGGGATAAAAGTACCTGTGTTATCACTCAAGTTATATCTGTAATTTGAACAGAATTTTTATCCTTCCCAAAGTCTGTGAAGCATGACTTGTCTTTATTACTATTATCAGGCTTTATTGCTGGACATTTTCCATTGACACATTTATATAAATTCAAATACAAAAATGTAAAATGTTTAACCTTCTATTCAAGGCCCATGATTCACTTAGTGTGTACAAAATGCCAGATAGTTGTCCATTATGTCCTCAACTCTTCCAAATTTCCCTGCCTGTCCTTCACACCTAAGCCATCTGTTTGTCATTTCTTGGCGGTCCCCATACCTCTTTCACAAACGAACCATCTGCTCAGCGCCTTTAAACTTCTATTTACAATACATACTCTTTTATCTATTTTACAACTCTTTGCATATGTCAAAATTTTAATTACACAGTCACATATTAGGATGTCATCAGCTCAGGGGGCTTTTTCTAACAACAGTGTCTATGATGGGCTAGGAGGCATTTAAAATGTGTTTTATGGCTCGCTGCTATATGATATTTATGAAAAGTGCAACAAATTTTGAAGTGAAGAAGCAGATGATGCATGAAGTCAATAATTGTTCCAAGACACCCCCAAGTGATTGATGTCTACATAATTCCATAAATGCTATTGCTTTATTAAAATACAATAACAATATTAATTTATATGAAAATTCAGTTTGGCTAACAACTAATGCATTTAAATTTCATATAATCTAATGCAGTCCGATCTCTTGTTTGGCTGGAAAGAAAAAGAAGTTTCTTTATAGAAATTTACTACATACCTCAGGTGTTATAAAATATAAGCAGGTAGGAAAGGTTTTTATAAACATTATAAATGCAATTAAAATATCCTTGTCCTGAACAAAGAGGGCAAAACTGATTTTCCTAGATGCAAAACAGCTAAGATAATTAAAAAATACCAGTTATGGTACAAGTGCTGTATATACATACATAATGCATACATACACACAAAGCATTTGTTCACCCCTTTCAAATGGAGTTTCATCCACACAGATGCACACTTTTCATCCATGTTGCTGAGCAATGTTACCTGTTCTTTCTGGATGAGTGTGCTTTGTTGATTCCATTTTAGGACCCTGTATATTTTGCATGGCGATTGCGACAAGACATAGTGTTAGAAGAGAAAGAAGTGGAGGATCTCTTGCCACATGGTCCATAATATAAATGAAAGAGGAATAGCCGAGCATTAAACTCAACTGAGCAGAATGAGATTCCCTTCTGTTGGCCTTCAAGGGCTTTGCCTTTTCCCTATTTTGTTTGCTTTCTAAGATATGAGGAGTAGTCAATCTGTCTAATCTGTCTGTAGAAAGGAAGCATACACAGCAATGAAATCTGATAATACACTTAAAGTACATTGGTAGAGAAGTGTTTGGGATAAAAAAGAAATCTTGAGAGAGATATGAAGAGGTTCGATAGTAGGAGAGAAAGGGCTCCCACTGCAGTGTGTGTGATATGAGTCTGGTTGTACCAGGATGGATCCCAGTTGAAGGGGTGGCTCATTTGCAAAGGCTGCAATTGGCTTTTTACACAACCAAGATAAGCTATAGAAACCTTTGCTTCCCCATCTGCTTACAGGGAGGACACAGAAGTCCTATAGAGTAGATTCTAATCAAAACAACATTGATTAAGTACAGAAACACTTGCCTGTATCTAAATGAAAAACCTTTGAAATGGCTTAATTTACTGTAAGTACAATTCTAGGAAACACTCATTGAAATTCAGCTGCTTATGGCAACTACATTTCTAACTGAGCACAGAACCACTCCAAACCACTTGACTGTAAATTGATCTGTGAATGTATTGCAGGTGGCTTCTCCAGGGTAGACATAGATACGCGCATGTCTGAAGACCAACAGAAGACCAGCTGGTGGGATCGTAAAGACAACTTTCCTACAAATGTTACAGGCACAATACCCGGAGTAAGTATTTACCTCCCCCCCTCCCCAAAATGATTCAACTTTAAACCACTCCATCCTCAGGACTCCACAGCCAAGTACTAGACATACATGTGCAGCTGTAGTGTGGCCCTGTAGACATTTTTGTACATTTTTGTATGTCATTTGCTTCAGGACAGCTGGGAGATCTAATCCCATAGAGAGAGAATCAACAACAACTAAATGGCATCAAGGAGAGTGCATCTCTCCCTCTCATTTCCATATTATCCCTTGGCACTTTGCTACACTCAAAAGACTTTCTGTGGTACCAAACACCCCAGTATTTCTGAGAGCAGGGGTGGCTTTGCTGCAAGGTAGTAAGAAAAATCATGCGTTTTGATATTTCTTTGCCTCTATCTTGTTCTGTGCACAGAGTGATGCATTTCTTTGTGAAATTTTATTAGCTTGACTAGAGTGAGCAGCTGTCCTAAGTCTAAAATTACACAGAGTATTGGAGAGATACCAAAATAGCTATTCTAAGCATGCAAATGGAGGAGACAATCCCACCTTCTTTTTTAATTAAGGTAAATAACTAAAGCTTGGAACAGCTCTAAAGGAGCCACTATACTTTAATATTTGAATTACCCCCTTCTCTTTTAATTGCACCTCTCTTTTTAATAATGTAGCTTTGGAGATCACAGACATAATACTGATAGGAATTTGAATATCTCTATCTAATGCTATTGTATACATACCCGCAATCATGGCTTCTTTACAGAAATTACAGTATCCCAGTTCTTCATTATACTTTTAAAAATTCTTTAAAAGATTGTCTATCATGATCCCTCAATTTACCAACTGATGTTCTGCTTCCCAACCAGGCCTACACAAATTAATGGTAACAGATTTCAGTCATCTCCAGGCAATGTAATTTCTCTTCTCCACCTATTCAAACAGCAGGGATTGTACTCATAATGCAGATCGATCAATACTACCTGATTTAATACCCTATTTTCAGTTGCTTTCAAGTCCTCAAATTTAATCATGCAGCCTGAAGGATCTGCTACATTGTTTTGGAGAAATTTCAATTTTTTAAAAAGGCATTCATTTTGGAAATGAGATCGAGGAACAAGTTATTATATTCTTTACATAAAAGTTCTTATAAATTTTCAGCTGAAAAGCTTTAATGTTTCTTTGTCTTTAATGAGTGTCTTGTAATGCTTTTTCTGCTCTTCAGAAGTTGATAAAGAATAGTAGACAGCAAAATGTATTTCTTTCAGTATGGAATTGTTTAAGTTACAGATCCAAATAGAGAAAACTCATTAGATAATAACTCTTCCTGTGGTGTCTACATTGGTTACATCAGTGCTTTTTGTAGTGTTTCAGAACCAGCAAAACAAGAGTTTAGAATCGATTGGTCTATATTTTCTCACCAAAGTTGACAAAAAATATGATACTCTGTGATATATCTGTTCTTTTTTTTACTGCATATATACAATGAATTCATACATATTTTATGAAAACCTTTCACCAAAAGCTCTTGCAATCCTATAAAAATGCCTGTTTGTTGTGTTTTCTGAGACACAGGAAGATTGATATTTGGCAAGATGATGGACTTCAAAAATAACTTTGGATTCTCTGACCTGCTTCACTAATGCATGCTGCTGTAAAACCAGGGTGAGTGAGAAGTGTGTCAGATGAATGTCTTGGCGATGTTTGAAGTCCAGCTGTTAGACATGCTTCCAAAATTCACTGGAGGAGCCCTCCCCACGTCCAAACAGGGATCCAAAGAGAGGAGTGACAGGTGGGTGGAGGCAGACACTTTCTGCCATTGCACCACAAAAAGCAGGGGTGAAAGCCCATGGCCAACATCCCTTTGCCATGTTGAGGAAGCCAGCAGCAACTCCTGCCCACAGCACCCCCCCCCCATCCACCTTGGTTTTGTGGACAACCTCACTTTTCAGGCACTAAGCATAGTCCCTGGAGCTGTCTCCTCCCCTACCAACCCACCACACTTGGAGAGGGAATGCACCAGCCCCCTCAGCATAAGCACAAAGGATAAATCTGTGCTGTAAAAGTGCCCATCTCTTGTGTTCTGACAATTCCTATCATAATTTAATCATTTTCCCGCTTTCTAGCACTCTGTGATCAGAGGGAGGTGCTTGCACCATTTGTTATTAATGTCTTTTCCATCCATTCTAGTTGCCACAATAGCTCCATCATCAACAGGCTTGAAGTATGAACAATTAGATCATGATTTTCTTTAAACATGCACAAGACATCACAAAAATCCAGCTGTGTGAACAAAGTAAAGAATCATCTTTGAGAGCAAATGTTGTTTGCAATCTTACAATTTGCAGACTAAAAATTAAATGACTATTTTTATCCTCCCTTTTCTGCTAGACACTAACTAAATTTGTCAAAGTAAGCACGCTTAGGATTAAAGTTTTATTGATTTTTTTTTAAAAGGCAAACTTCAAATGTGGCCCATAAAGTTTTCATAGCTGCATTAGAGTGCAGAAGTCTTCCTGACTCAGATTCCCACTCCTGCTACCTCTTGTTCTGCTGGTTAGGGCTCCCAGTTCCAGTCTCAGTGACAAGCTTCAATCCACTGTAGCTACCTGGCTCATGGTTCAGTCTGGGCCACCAAACTTACGTGCAAATGAGTTCTTACAGGATGGAAAAGTGTGAGAGAGGGAGACTGAGCAAACATCTGTGGGAAAGAAGGATGTCAGCCAGTAGTGGGGATGGTCCTCAGCATGGGAGAAGGCTGCAGTCATAAAGGGAAATGAATTTATTCAGTGTTCAGTCCGAAAGGCTTCTGTTGGGATAATTTACTCTGAAATATTGTTTTTATCCCTAGGTTTAAAAGATGACTTAAGACCTTTTTTTTTTTTTTTTTTTGGAACTTCCATTGGCATTGTCTTTTGTATCTGTGAGCTGTCTTCTATTCCCTTCTTAGCATGCACCATATGCAAATTTGCAAATTGGGATTTTTAATATGAGAGGAAAAGCAGAAATGTTTGAAGAACTGCTATTTTCCATGTCTCCCAGTAAACTGCTTTCTGAAGAGGTTACCACCAGCTTTCCATGAGTTTCTAATTCCATTCTCTTTAATTCAAGAGAGTCCTATGATCTTCATTTAACTAGGCTATACTGGGCACTAATTTTTAACTCGTTTGCCAAATATGTCAGTGGCATTCACTGCTTGAGGTGTTTCTTGGGTTCCCATGAAAGGATTGGATACCTAGTTTTATATTACAAAATTCAACAGCTTTTGGAATATTCTGATGTACTTACAATTACACAGAGAAGTAATTGAGTATGAGCTATTGCTTTTTGTCTGTGACTACAAGGGAATGAAGCAAAAGAAGGAGGTCCTGGAATCTTGCATTATGTACTCCACTGAGTAAAGCTAAATCCCTGAAAACTTCTGTATGTCAGTGAAATTAATTATGTGGGATCTGTGACCATAACTGCTAAGAGATCCAGAAACAACTGTAGTAAGAGGAAAAATAACCAGTTTATGGAGTCACTTCGTAAAAATAGGAGTAACTTTAATGCAATCCAGAAAGATATACCAGCCTACAGCAGCTGGTGAGACATCAGCTCCACCTACAGAAAAGGCTGCTCTATAGCTCTTATGTAACCATGTTGAACAGATCCCAAACTTTGGCATCTGCAGTAGGCCCTCTAGTTCAGAAAGATTACCTGCCTATAAGGAGGTGCAAACAAGCAGCAGATTAAAGAGGCCTGCAGAGAATTACTGAGTCCTATGCAACTTCTTATAGGTGAGTTTTTAACAGGGACAACTATTAGAAGGTACATTATTATGTAAAGCATGGAAACAAAATTGGCATGTCTTCTTCCTGAAGCAATCAGGATTATTCATATTTCTATTGCTAATTGAAAATAAGAAGAAATAAAACACATAGTCTGCCCAGCAGCATCACGAGCCTCAAATGTCTCTCTAGTGGTGAGTATGGTCTGTGGTGCCAGCTATGCTGGGCTGGGTAGGGTAAGAAGTTTCCCATAAAATGATTACCAATGTCAATTAAAAATTTTGCACTTGCCTCTTAGTTTATCTGAAACTGAAGAGGGCTGCTTGCTCGTGCAGTCAAAACATGTCATATGCATATTCTCACACAGAAAGCAGTAGAGGCTCTAAAGCCTATCTTAGAGTGTGTTTGATTTTCTGGCTGCCTTATTTGTTTACAACAATGCTCTTAAAATTGTCTCTACCATCTGTGTGGTTTCTAGTTGTTTGAATGAGAATGAGATATTAAAATGCCATCCAGATGTCTAGATGCATATCAGCATTAACATATTATGCAAATTGTCACAAGGATAGTTTTTTTTCTTCTTAAGCAAAACAATATTTTTAGACGGAATGGAGAGAAATAAATCTGTGAAGGATGGCAAGAAAATAAATGCACTGAGAATATTCAGCTGAACTTTTCAATCATTTTTATGAAAGGGTTAGGTACAATGTGTCCTTAGTTGTTTTGACTATAAATCTATAGAAGAACAATTGGATGAAAACATAATAATAATAATAAAAAAAAATCCTGATAATGCAATGAAGCACCACTAAACCTGAGGATCTCATAAAATGAATTCAACAAAGTGAAATATAAAAGTTGCCTCTGTGTATTTATCTCATGAGAACAGGACTTCATGAACAATGATAACAAATATCTGTTGGCTGCTAAGCATCCAATTTTAAGAAACCTTTGGCTCTTATTCTACAGATGTTTACATTTGGAGATCAGAGCTCAGAATCAGCAGTGCAAGATCAGAATTGTGTCTTCATTGCTCTCAAAATAAGAAGTGGGATTAGAAAATTATGATAAATGTCATTAACTGAAATTATTATTTTTTTTTTTCTGGGACTTTGATTCTTACAACTAAGAAAAAGCATGATGTCTGTTAAATTTCTCCTTAAAGTTAGGCTGGAAATTTTCAACCTAAATTTCCCTTGCATAATAATGGAAATTATCCCATCTTCTCCCTGATGACAAGAAGTACTCTTCACAGCCTTCCTCCTCACAAAGTAAAGAGCTAGACCTAGTCAATGTAGGTTACAACAACCTTTCAGTCATGTGAAGGCATTTCACCTTCCTCAGCATCCTTTTCCAGACAAGCTCAGTAATTTCAGTCTTTTCTCATGGTTCAGGTTTCCTGTAGTTCTATTTTGCATGTTGTCTTCAGAATTCCCTTTAATTAATCCATATATCTATAGAAGTATTGGGCCAAAGACAGGCCAGAGTAATCCAGCTGTGGTCGGACCAATGACTAGGCTTGAAGAATTACTTTCTATGTTAAATATACTATCCCTATTTATTTATCCTGATTTGATGGCTGTTTTTCTATGTCAATGATGTTCCTAGCATCTCCCACCATAACTCCTCTTCTACAGGCATCTACTGCTGCTTCCCTATCCATAATCTGTTACTTTATAACTGAAAGGCTTTAGGTTCGCTTGATATGGTTCCTTCTCAAACCATCCATGCTGTTTCTTACTTACCATCTTTTATCTTCTGAGTACTTAAATAGATTGTCTGACTATTAATTCTGGTATCTGTCTGGGCACAGAGTGGAGTATGATTGCTCTGTAATTCCTCAACATTTTAATAACATATTACATTTAACAATAACCATTTCTTTTTTTTTAGTTTATTTATTTTTTTCCTTGTCTGTTACCAGTGGCATATAATCTTCACAAAGGAAGTTTATTATGTGTATGATGAGGGCTTAATCCACAAAGAACTGAAGAAAGGTTTGTACTTCAGCTGCTACTGCAGCTACTCCTGAACAAGGACAGCAGTCCCAGCACGCAGTGGATCAATGATAACACAAAAATTGATCTTTAATAAATAGGCTGAGAGTCCTGTAGTGGAAACCATATGCACTAAATGTTATATATAAAATCTTATATACATTATAGAATCATAGAATCATAGAATATCCTGAGTTGGAAGGGACCCTTAAGGATCATCAAGTCCAACTCTTGACACCGCACAGGTCTACCCAAAAGTTCAGACCATGTGACTAAGTGCACAGTCCAATCTCTTCTTAAATTCAGTCAGGCTCGGTGCAGTGACCACTTCCCTGGGGAGCCTGTTCCAGTGTGCAACCACTCTCTCTGTGAAGAACCCCTTCCTGATGTCCAGCCTAAACTTCCCCTGCCTCAGCTTAACTCCATTCCCGCGGGTCCTGTCGCTGGTGTTAATGGAGAAAAGGTCTCCTGCCTCTCGACACCCCCTTACGAGGAAGTTGTAGACTGCGATGAGGTCTCCCCTCAGCCTCCTCTTCTCCAGGCTGAACAGGCCCAGTGCCCTCAGCCGTTCCTCGTACGTCTTCCCCTCCAGGCCTTTCACCATCTTCGTAGCCCTCCTCTGGACACTCTCCAACAGTTTCATGTCCTTTTTATACTGTGGTGCCCAGAACTGCACACAGTACTCGAGGTGAGGCCGCACCAGCGCAGAGTAGAGCGGGACAATCACCTCCCTCGACCTACTAGCGATGCCGTGCTTGATGCACCCCAGGACACGGTTGGCCCTCCTGGCTGCCAGGGCACACTGCTGGCTCATATTCAACTTGCTGTCTACCACGACCCCCAGATCCCTCTCTTCTAGGCTGCTCTCCAGCGTCTCATCGCCCAGTCTGTACGTGCAGCCAGGGTTTCCCCGTCCCAGGTGCAGGACCCGGCACTTGCTCTTATTGAACTTCATGCGGTTGGCGATCGCCCAGCTCTCCAACCTATCCAGATCCCTCTGCAAGGCCTTTCCACCCTCATTCGAGTCCACAACTCCTCCAAGTTTGGTGTCATCAGCAAACTTGCTCAAAATGCCTTCTATTCCTACATCCAGATCGTTTATAAAAATATTGAAAAGTACCGGCCCTAAATAGCAGAATATATGCACGCTCCCATCCTGAGGGGGGTGAAGATAGATTTTATATCTTTCAGTTTGTTGCATTTTCCTTTTTTTGCTCTAAGACCACCAGAGACTTCTAATGATCATTCTGAAATGCCAATCTAATGTCACAAGAAAGCAAAAAAAAAAAAAAAGAAAAAAAAAAAAAAGAAACCTAACCATATATTTTAGTTCCTTCAGTCATTAAAGCAGAAATCGTAGCCTGGTTGAAAAAAAATATTGCTGCTCTGAGGATTGCTAACTATTCAGAGAATAAATCTGTTTGTGGATTATTAACTGCAAAGTAAAAGCCTATTTGCAGTGTATGAACAATAGCTGCTTTTTATATTGGTGTGTTTTGAGTGTCTGCAGCCAGAGATACAAACATTTGTAAACAATCCATGCATACAGCTTCATTTTGAGTTCCTGAGAGTTATGCACTGACGCCAAGAGGATAATAAATAGACCGCCGATTTTTTTTAAAGTGGGTTTTTGCTTGGCATGCAGGGAGTTTTAGTAATTCTTCTTAAAGCAATAGGGCTTTTCCTTCTGCACTGCAGTAACTGAAAAACAGGAGATTCTGTTTGGGAAAACCACCAAATGCTAAAAGTACAACCTTACTTACAACTGAAACAGGGGTCCAAACTCACAATAGCCCCAGTTTGGGCACCTCAAACGTTCAGAAATGACCTAGCAGAAAAAGTTCTTGAGATATGGCTTTGGAAAGAAAACAGTAACGATCACTTCCTTGATTACAGGCTGTGCTTTCCTCCTGGATGGTAGCAAGTCCTTATTTACAGTGCAACGTTAGTCCTCATGTACAGTATAACATTATCCTAAAACTCTAATTAAGTGTAAGATCTCTGAGCTTCTGTTGTCCAGATGTAGTAGAGGATGCATGTGCTTCTCGCGTGCGTTGTTGCAAGTGGAACAGATCTCTGCTGCCGCTCTGCACCCGGGAAACCCCTCGCAGTACTGAAGGCCAGACCAGCTGGTCTTCAGGCATGCACATGGAAGTTTTAATTCATCCTCTCACCAAACCAAGGCATGAATGACTCATATAACACATTCTAGGTTGTAGCTGTTGTCACTCTTCTGGCTTTTCTCGTTCCTCTCACACATGCCGGACAGGCTGCATTTCACGCGGGTGTAAGCACAGGCTGTGCTCTCAAATGTTCTCACATACGCAAGAGTGTTTTAGCATGAACTATTTTGACACTTCCAAGAATGGCTAATTATGCACATCTAGAGGTCTGTTTCAAGGCTGTACCCAAAACATATTGATCTTCCATTGACTCTCATTGCCCTTAATAGACTGGTGGGCAGTCAGGCTCTTTCTGCCTCATTTGATCTCTGCTGCTTACCAGAAATGTGATTGCTTTTCCAGTGGAGATCTGGACACGTTTTCGTTTTGCATCTTTCCACATTACCTCAGTAGTTGTTGTTTTTGCCGCAGTTTGAACCTTCTACACGGAGTGCTTCAAGGGAAATAACAGAACTGCATCAAGGGAAATAAAAGATTTGATGTAATCCTGAGACATGTTTTAGTTAAACACAGGCAATTTGTCTTAGAGCAGTTCGATATCAGGATGAGAGTGCATGGTCTTTGTATAGATAAGACAGTATCATCTGTCCTAAAAAGCAATGAATTTGTTAATTAAAGCCAATCAAGTGATAGCAATAATTTTACTGGCATGTTAAGAAATAATTATTTTTTATTTGAGCCTCCGTCCTTCAAAATGACTTTCCTCAAGCACTTGGTAAGTGAGCTTCAGTTGCACAAAATATTCCTAACACACTAATTTTAACTATAAATATTTTCCTTAAAGTTACTTCTTAAATGCTTTTCAATTGCTATATGCAGAGGTAATATTAGCCTTTCTCAATTTACAGTATTACTTGTTTGTATATAACTGTCATCTGCAGATACAATATCTGGTAATTTGCTCTCAAGCACCAATACTTTTTCAAAAGAAATACTTTTAAACCTACTCAGAAACATTTCACAGAGGAAAAGTGTTGAAATTAAGTTACTACATTATTTATGAGTGACATTTTTCAGCCCTATGCAAAATAAAGGAGCATTTTTAACCCATTAATTCAAAGCTCTGAGAAAAATGGTGAAAGTGTATTATTTTCCTCATTTTCTTGGCATTATGGAAGACTGCCTAAATTACTTTTTAGGCCTTAATTTCACATGGCAGCTGTCAATAAATAGCTTTGTCTGAATGAGTGGATGATAAAACCATGTGCAATACTCTGCTTTTCAGGAGCTGTAAAACTGAGCTTTTTTTTTTTTTTTTTTTTTTTTTCTGAAGTACATTTGGGCACTGGCTTAGCTCTGCACTGCAAGATGCCTTCACAGGTTCATAGTTCTTGGACCATGCTGACCTGTGTGAGCTTTTCAGCCCTACAGGGAAGCATTGCTTGTGGTCCACATTCCTTTCAGGACTCTATCTCTGCACCATGTCTGCTAGCCTGGCAGACAAGAGGTCTCCTGTACATACATAGGCAGTTTGGATGCATAAAACTATAGCTCTGCCTGTACTGATTGCAACTCACCTCACATGAGGTGAAAAATACAGGACTGGTAGCTCCTGTACAGCCAGGAATAGTGGCATTGCTACTTGAATGTCTCTCCTCTTTTAGCTGTGATGTCTGTGTCTTTTGCTTCTGGTTTCACATAGCATGGCTTCTTATACATCGTTCTTCTTCCCACTTTAATTTTCTCTATATATGGTTGTAACAAAGATATTGCAACTAAAGAAATACAGTGCAGAATGGAAAATGAATTCACGTGAGGCATGCAGGTACACCTCACTCTATAATTAATAACATAGCTTCCTGCCCGCATGTGAGACTTCAGAACTGATTAGCTGGCAGCTTTCACTGCTGTTCCACCGTATAAGAAAGTATGGCTATAAAAGAGGATTCAGCTTCACAGCATCATATAAACTTAAGTTTCATTGATAGTAACAACATGAACAAGAAAATGTGAGATGTGGGGAAAATATCTCAGGGTAAAAAAAGAATAAAAATAGGAAAATAATTCTTCAAACCTAAAAACAAAAAAGCAGAACAGCCTACCAACTGATATAACAAATTTCTAAACTGAGATTGCAAGGGAAAACACTTCAATCCCACAAGAAGCAATTAGAAGATCCTGTGGAAGTAGTGCATTAAAAAGATGAGTCTCCAAAGGAGCAAACTGCTTTTTCCATATATATATATATATATATATATGTGTATATATATATATATATATATATATGTATTATTGTTCACGTGGAACCCATCTGACTGTGTATTCTCTCCACAAAGTATGAATGTTGCTTTCCCCTTTCTGGATGATTATCTGTCCTCTATTGTAAAGAGGTATGAATAAGCAAAAGCTTTCAAGGCTGCTGAAAAGGATGAAGTACTTTTTTATTTCTCTTTGTAGAACACAAAGCCTGTAGGAGGGAAATTGCAAAATATTGTTCTTCTCTAACATGCTTTAGAGAAATGCTTGGTGTATTTACTCATATCCCACCTGAAACAACCCACAGAATCGTTTAAATAAATAAGCTTGCACTGCACAGTAGGTTTTTACATACATGGAGTAGGGTAACGAGAGTAATGGAAATTCTCTCTTCTGCAGAGTGGATAAGCCTGTGCTTAGACTTTTTTTTTTTTTTTTTTTTCAGTTTTAATCTGAGAGTAAAACTTTCCCATATTGTGTGAGTTTTATCTGAAAGAGTTTGGGAATCTCATAATCCAGGGCACTTAGTCCTTAGTTTTAGACACTTTATAATTTTCTAGACTAACTCACATGAGGTTTAAAATGTATATGTCATTGTAATTCTCCAGTAACAGTCACTCTGAAGCTGAAAAGACCTTCATATCACTGAATCTGTTACCTGCTATCATGCCTTTAGTGATTACTTCTCTTTCTTGGAGGTAACTGGAGGCAAATTACAATCTAGGCTAATAGGTTTTATGACCAATCAACTCAAAGGCACATACCTGTCCTATTAATAATGCAAATGTGATAGGATTATTGAGTTATGAGTAGTTTATAAAGAAATATTAACCACTAATACATTAATTAAAGCTGAGAAAAGTATTAATTAGCTTTGATGCTGCTGGATTACAGAGTAGTAGATAATTTTACCAAGGCCTGCTTGAATTGATTAGTGTGATCCCATGCTGTGCACTGTGTTTCCACAACAGAATTGATTTTTTTTTTTCCCCCCAGATGAAGACAAACAGCATTCTGAACCACATTCAGAGGCATTTCTGACTAAGCTTGGTTAGGTAAGTAAATAATAGAAGTGGCCTTCTTCTGCCCTGAGTTTTACCAGTTTTACCTCATGTGAAATTTTGTAACCACTTTAAATTTGATGTGACTACTTCTAGAACAAAAGCAAAAGTAGAATAAAAGGTTCTGCATTGTCAATGTACACCACAAGGGTATAAGCAACCTACGGAAGTGGGATTATTCTCCAGTATTCCTGGAATGTTATGTCCTAAACTGATCTTCATGTTCTGTCAATTATATTTATCACGAAACCGTCAGCTTTGGCTTTTCCAAATTACAAGTGAAAAAAACCCTCAGTGTGATAGTGTCTACATAGGCAAATGCCTGTAACTCATGAATAGTACTGAGCCGTTAAAATGAGGCCGTCAGTATCCATAAGCATTCAACTTAACAGTGGCAAAATGCATCTCCATACTCACATGAAAAGCTCAAAGTGCTGAATTTTGTGTAATTCAAACATAAATTATATCTAAGTAAACTCAAAAGCAAAAAGATCACAGCTAAAACATATTAGTCAGGCAACCATGCACTTCTCAAAGATGCTCAGATAGTAGTACCATGATGAGCTTTCTGTGATGCATATGAAAGCCAGTTAAATTACAGTTGCAGAAATATAGTTATAAAATATCACTGGCAATCACTTGAAGGAGATATATGTGGTTAAGTAATTTATGCAATAACTAAAAAATTGTTTCTTATTTCTTCTCCTTTCATCTTGGAGGAATGAGGCAATAGTAATACATGGAAAACTTTCCTAACATGGTAAAAACTTTAGATTTCTGTGCTGGTAAAAGTAAAAGTAATCTGGGCCTCTCAGCATGCTGGCCATCAATGAAAACACTGGTTAGTTAGGGTATAAATATTGGTCATATACTTTAGTATTGCACAGGTTTAACAGTTTTTTTTCTCTATCTTTTTAGGAGTTCAAGACAAGCCTGTGAAAGACCGCGAGATGGTTTCTAACAGTATCACTGGCCTAAGTTGACATGGTGTCATTTCACTGCAAGTATTGAGGTTTAGAAAAGTTCTTCAAGATTTGACCCGAGTGAGTGTAACACAGAGATGATTATTCTCAAGTTTTGAAAACAGTCTTGACTGAGGAAAATTTCAGTTTCCTCACATTTTTTTCCCCAACTGTAGATGGCTTATTATCCACGTAATATTATTTCTCTGGCTTCTGAAATAGCCTTTTCATTTGTAGCACTTCACTGATGGTGAATGGCAGTTGTCCATTAACCATTATCTCTTCTAATTTTCTGTGAACTAATTGTAAGGAGTATAAGAAAAGCTATTAGGATACTGGAGCACTGAGAGAAAAAAGAAAAAGAGCAGGTCAAGATTACATTGGGTCATCACAACTTACAGCAATATTTCTTTCAAGAAATGTGAAGGTCTAAAAGTCAATTGTTAAAAATAAGGCAGAAAAACACCTGTTAATATCAATTCAAAAATCAATAAAAACATCCAGTTTGACAAGAACTTCTATAGAAATTTCTAGGGAAAATACTTACCTTATGACACGACAAGCATCTTTATTGCATAGGTTAAATGAGGCAGTAAAGGGAAAATGTTGCTACTGTATTGGAACATACTAAGACAACTGAAGAGCAGACATATCCAGGCTCAAAGATATGAAAACCAGAACCAAAACCAAAACAAACCCTACTGGAGTTGATAAATGCAATGAAAAGCTGATATTTGAAGAAGGGACCATTTATCTGACTAATATTTTTCAGAACTTTGAAAGAACTAGAAATAACATTATTAAAATTATTGCAGGTTATGAGTAAAGTAATTTTACTCATGTCTGCATTACCTTGACTAACCACAGCAGGAGATTTCTTACAACCTTAGCTGATTATGAATACAAATCATCAGGTTTATATATATCACTCACGGTTAAAAATTCATTTTTGATAGCAATGAATAGGGGTGGTGAAAAATTGTAAATCAAAATATGTACGTGAACAATGTCCTGTTGTGTTGTGATGAAAAGGTAGAAATGTGTGAGTGACAGTTGTGGGAATTAGTTTTTTATATTTCCTGTCTTTCAAAATTTAGACTAATAGGTGGATGTAACATGAAAAGATAAACAATGATAGAAAAAAAAAAATAAAGCTGCTTTGGTCGCATGTAGCAAAAAAGATATAGGCATCTTTATAAATCAAATCTACGGCTAGAGCACAGACGGATTAACAGGTGGAGAAACAACAGATGACATATACAATACTGATGGTGAAGAAATATGACCAGGTTGAATAGTTTGGACAAGCTTTAATTCAACATAGCACACTTCTGAAAATTGATGGCTTTTAAAATACCTTAGGAATGATTCTGTTCTGCCCATGTTGCCCGCTGGCATCCAGGACTAGGATCTAATCCATAACTATTGTTGGGATAATGAACACTAAAGGAGAACAGTTGCTCATATTCACTTTGCACCCATTTGAAATGAGTGTCATGATCAATTACTCAGGTTGTGGCTGAAATCGGTGACCACTGAGGGGCAGTTAGAGTTGTCCTGACTATGCCACATGCTATTTCCACAGTTCTTGATTCACCTCCAGATCAGAAGTTAAAATGTTAAATTACTTCAAGGCAAAGGATTCATTGCCATGCAGAAGTTCCCACTGCTTAGGTGGGGATGGGGGGAAGTGTATTGCTGAATTCCTTGTGGATGAGGCCAAAAACAAATGTTAGCCTTGGATTAGATTAAAGGCAAGTAAACAGAGCAGCAGAAATATCAGTCATAATAATGAAGGTGGAAGTAGATGGCTTTTCCAGATTGGTAACCTTCATCAAACAAATGCAGGATGAGATCATTTGAACAGTCTCGAAGAATTATGGAATGAAAAATAAGTTGAGTAAATCAACAAGCATGTCAGGTGATACTCTGCAGCGAAGATGGAGGTTTCTTTTTTAATTTACTGAAAAGGTACATTCTATTCTCACAGGGATGAAGCTATAAGGACCCATTGCCAAGAAATTCTGCTGGATACACAGCTCCACCCCCTCACCCAGGGGACTACTGATGTGTTTGCATAGCAGAACTATTTATGAAGATACTTTTGTGCAAGATATGAGTGTACGTACATGTGCACAATTGTCTTTAGTGATAAAATAATTGCCTAATATGCAAAATCGATAAAATCAGAAATGTGAGCAATGCAAGAAATGAATCTGAATATTCAGGGCTGTACCCTTTTTCTCCTTTAAGCTGGTCAGAATACTCTTTCTGTAAGAAACCTGTTTGCCTGCTCCCCAGGCTGGTAAAAGGCAGGATTGATTTGGGCCTTAACCTATGCAGTTCCAGCTGGGATATTCAGACTGTGCAGGCAGTACCTGAATGATTTTTGAAAACAATAGTATTCAATCACATGCAATACCGAGTAATAGTAGGAAGAAAGAAGGGTTGTGATTTATACCATGTGTCATGATGCCAGTGGAAAGGGGAAAGATCTACTGAAGCCTCTTTGTGAGAACAGCACTGTGCTCCAGTCAGCTCAAGATTGTGTCTCAAAGCGTGTTTTGACCAAGGGAAAATAAAATAGCCATATAGACAAGTGGGTACCTATAATCCCATCAGTGACAATATAATGGTATACCAGAAAGGCTTTCAATCTTTTTAGACTTGTACATCTGTTTCTACCACACCTGCCCTAATTTTGCCCCTTGGTCAAGTTTTGAAGCCTCTCCTGACTTCCACACAATTTAATTTTCTATGTAGATATCACTAATATTTTTAAGCTATTGTTCATCTGCTGCCTAGACTCTTAGACATCTAAGTCTTCCAAAATAACTGTACCATCTGTCACAGTCTAAGAATTACCATTCTAGTTATCACCAATAAAGGGATGGAGTCATTTGATACAAAATTTATGCATAGCACCAGACACCCATTCACCCAGTATACAATTGAATCTGCCACTGGGGGATTTTGGATAACTACTGAGTCAAAGGCTGGGTTAATCATATGCATAGAGGGCTAAGAAGAGTATATTGGAGTTGTGTAGATATTTTGAAAGGCTTGGTATGAATGAGCATATGTGAGACGGAGCAAGAATCGTTTTTTAATTGGTGGTGGAAAAATCAAGCTGTTATGGAGCAGTGTGGGAATGAGGGAGATAGGTATTTATTCCAAATAATGGATTATACCAAAACTAGATTTATCTAGAGTTTTCTACAGGTGCAAGGCAAGATTTAGCACTCCATGGTGAGCATGGCTGAGGTGACCGCAGATTAAAGCACCCACACTGGAAGAGGAAAACAGCTGCTTTCCAAGCCCTACCCCAATGAGTTCATGAAGACTTTATGGCAAGTTGAACAGCTTCAAAGAAACACCGAGAAGTCCCCCCTGCTCGTAACCGGTGGCCTAGTCCTGGGGGAACAAGCAGAGGTAGGAACCGAACCCTTCTCAGCCAGGTGACAGAGCTCAACCCCAGTCTGCCTCTTTGTGGGCCAGCAGCACAATTAATCTCCTACGTGAGAAGGACACAAGGTGTTATGTTTTGCATGAAGTCCAGATCTCACCATCTATTTGCTTGGGTCCTTCAGGCACGGCAGCTCAGGGAATGCCAGCTCTGCCAGTTGTGACACAGGCTCATCTGCTTGGCCAGAGCAGCAGCCAGTAACTCCAGGGCTTGGTCATATCTGAGCAGAGGTTTTGAGGACGCTCATTTAAGCATTCACATCCAAAATCACTGTTACAGAGATAGAAATACTCTAGTGGGTCTAGCCCATAGCACTAAACAATATAAAAGTTGCCTTTCCTGTGATGCAAATATCATATGATAAAAACCAATATAACAGAAACTGCTGGTAGACAGTCTAAGTGGGTTAATACAGTTATTATCCAAGCCTTGCTTCAAGCTGTGGACTGATATTTTCCACAATCCGCTAATTGTTCATGAACATCCAAGCTAGCAAATTAAAGTAAACCCATTTTATCACTCAGATTTAATGATTTTCTGCTGGGAAATGTTCAAAAATGTCCTTCTTTGAAATACTTAGCTCATCAGCAAATTCACCATCAGTTGTTCATTTCTTCTCCACTGAAGGTCACTTTGAAATTTTCACATTTTCCTTTAAAAGGTTTGTATATAAGATGACCACTGTGAGCACGAAGAACTTTTACTTCTCCTTGAGCTTTTAGTTCATAATGGTGTTTGAACATTGTAAGCCTGTGAGTACTGTAAGAAAGTGAATATTCAGATCCAGAAATTTCAAATCCAGGTGAAGTGAACTTGCTGATTAACTCTGTGAATGAAATTAGTAGTTCAGCAGAGGTTCTGATGACAGCAAAGGAAAATCTGTCTTAAAATATAGTAAAACCTGCAGGAAATACAAGGTACCTGCTGAGAAATCAGCTTTCTCTTTAGCTATAACGTTTAATCTTTTTGACTCTTGCCTAGTTCTTCGTCTGGGGTAGAGGGAACGCAGGTACAGATTTCACAGTGCTGTCACTGCCAGTGAAATGTTCATATTAATCTAGATTTGTATGCTGTATAGCTGTTGGCAACGAGGACAGTTAACATTCCACTATCACTTTCCCTTCAAGGATACTGAAGAGCATTAAAAACATTAAGCTTTGAGGTTGGTAATTTACTAATGAGAACACTGATTCAAAGAGAAATTAGAACCTTAATCTCTCATCCATTGAAGCCAATAGAAATCATTTTGTGATTTCCTTGGGCAGACTCTGTGTAGCTTGTAAAAGGTCACAAAAGAAATCACAGAAAAATTAGACTGAAGTTCAATAATTTTTTGCTCATTCAGTAAGAGAAGAATAGCTGCCCCTTATGCTATGCCTGTGCCCTTTAAATCTGAATCCCTTTTCCTTAATGCAGTTGAGAAATATTCCAATAAATTTAGATTTCTAAGATCACATTTCCGTGTCACCACCAGCTGTGTGCTGTAGCAGAGGAGACATGGAACAACTGATAGCTTTGGAGCACTATTAGTTTTCATTCAGGCTGAACATCACAGCTCTCCTCCATGGGATCCAAGCTGGAGCCTTCCCTGGTGGTGGATGCTGAAGCTCCAAGCAGATCCTGGAAACAAAGATCTCTTGGACAAGTTTCCTAACAGAAGAAGCATAAAGCCAGTCCCACCAAACTGAAGAACCAAAGCTTTTGCATCCTGCTTGCATGCTCACAATTACATTAAGCATTTTAGTACAATGGAAAGCCATACCTCATGCCACATAAATGAAATTTCCAAATTCTTGGAAGTAGCTAAACTTCACCAAAAACCAATTCCATACTGCTGAGACCTTTCATTGAACTAAAGCATCTAGTTTTCAGGGTGACATAATGACATTGAAGAAATCACAAGTTCTTCAAGCCTGTTGTCTTATAGGTAGTATTCTCAAAGGCCTGATCCAAAGCACTGTGTAGTCAGAAGCAAACATTTCAACTTGGGCCTCATGCAATGTTTTGCAAGATCCTCCATCTCTGGTAATAATTCAAGCAGTTTATTACAGAATTTCATAATGCAATATGCATTGCTTGTGTGGCTAGCAACCTTTATATCAACAGCGTAGATAAATGCCAGTACTGCTATCATAATACACTTCAACTGAGGTAAGAAATATAGTGCTGTATTTACAAATTTGATCCATTCAGGGCCCAGGGCTGTAGCAACTTATATATAGGAGCATTTATGCACAAAACCACTGGAGCATACACATGATTATTTATCAAGATGGTCTACGTGTAGTGCTGGTATTATGCATTAGCACCTACTTGATATAACAGGAATAAACATTTCATGAAAGAACACAAAGGACGCTGGAAAGGTATATCACAAAAAAATTTATATAGTGAACCCCTGGAATATTTATGTTTTACATTCCACATAAAGTGTGTGAGAGCTAGCCATGTAAAGCCTTCCCAAAACCAGGTAAGAAGGACAATTTTATAATGGTGATATAACTGAAAGAGCTTTCATTGACTTTAAGTACAAACCTTATATTTTCTATTGATGTTCCTTCAACTTATGAATCCCATAAAGATCATTCCACACTATGATAGAAAGAATAGATGTATTTCCATGATATGCAGAACAGATTTAAACATTTGCACTCATCTGGATTTAGCAAACTGTAGTGCGCAGTGAGTGGCAGATGTATTGTTCTGCTGTGCCATATAAAGTATTATTTCAGATGTTTGAAATAATGCATATAGTTAAAGGTTATGGTAGAATAACATTAAAGAAATTCATTGTTTCTTGGCCTGATGGTAGTATGAATGATAAAAAGGTGATGACTATTATAGCCTTGAAGCATTACAGTCATTTTGCTATGATAATAGTCCTCAGATTTGGTTATAGCCCTAATATGTTACCTGAAAGTTAAAATCAGATTCACAGGTCTGTTGGCACATAGTGATTACTTATTGTCTAGGATGTAATTTCTAAAAGAAAAGGAGTGTTGATCTTGAGGATAAATCCTGGTTTCTTTCTTTCTTTATTTTTTTATTATTTAATTTTAAGAGGAGCTAAGCATGGAGTTTTTATTTCAGAGAATGAATCAATTCAGGATTGTCATTTCTACCTTGAAATATGCCATGATGAATACCTCTCCTGCTCTATGCTTTTATTACTCTTTGTACCAAATTATTATGGACCACAGGCAGCTGATGTTTCTGGCATTACAAGCAATAGAGCAAAGCTGTCAAGTGACCGAGAGCTTCAAACCTGCCCCTGCATGATTTGAGAGCCCCGATGGATTGTTTTGGTTTTACTTTTGAGATATTTGGGGATATTAAAGTGCCCATTACCACAGTATTAGTACTTCACCATCCTTAACACTTGCTTAATCCATCAGTTTTAGAGTCCCAAGTCAAGGACTTGTTGTCAGTGAATTACTGCTGCCAATGCAATGCAAACTGTCAGATTGCAATCTTAGCCATAACAAGGTCACATAATAAAGCACATAACAGAGGAAAGACTGTAATGATTATTGTTTTCATTGTGTATAATATCTAAGTACATACTAAAGCTTAGTAGTAGACAGAAGAGCTGTGAAAGTCAAGGCATTTCTTTTGTATTTCTGATTCTCTCTCTCTGAACAGAAATAAAAATAAATAAATTTAAAAAAAAATAAAATGATAACAATAATGTTCCAGCCAAAGCAGAGCTGGTTCCAGACAAGCTGAGAAAGAAATGAAATGGTGTCACAATTATGACAATGCAGAATAGAAATTCAATATCTGCTCTGTAGTTTGTGTTCTGTGTTTCTTTAGGGGACTAGAAAATGTTTGATTAAAAAGGGAGTCATGTTCACGGGGTGCATTACTCATTCCAGATTTCACATTGTAACTCAGGCTAGTCAAATATGTTTCTTAGCCCTGAATCTGTCTGATATCTCTGTATTTCTAGAGCTTCACACAAACGATTGGAAATCAAACATTCACAAGAGATAACGCAGTAAAGCATTAAACATAACGGATTTTATGTGTCCAGAGCAATAATTGATTTCATGTTATGCTAACCTACTCTGCAGGTTTAAGCAGTGAGGACAGCTCCATTTCATAGGGTAGTCTATGAATTATTATTTTTAGGGTTTTTAAAAGCACTGAGGCAATTTACGTTTCTATTTCCTTTTTCAAACATTTATATGGAGAATTTATATGAAGAATACAGGGAACACTTGCACAGGCAATGGAAGAAATTCATCCCTCAAGTTTTCTGAGGAAAAAAAAAAGAAAAAGAGAGAAGTAGAAAAGAAAAAGTGAAGTAGGAAAAAAAAAAAAAAAAAGCAAAATGTTAAAAGTACATTATTTTTTCAAGGGGAGAAGTTATATGTTTATTCTTTTCCTCTCTTTGTGCTGCCTGCTTCCTGTTGGGGTGTGTTCCCTCCACCTCTATAAGCTGGCGAGGGCTTGATGGTAGCACAGTGTGAGAAATTCCTGGCATTTCAGAGTTCATAAACAAACAAACAAGCTCTCGTCTGAGCATTATATTACCAAAAATGCATCAGCATAATGTCACAGAAGGCAAATCAGGAGGGAGACCCACTCCCTTCTTGATGGGAAGGTTTCAGAGAACAGCTACTTCCCCAGCGTGTTGGTAGAAGCAGTGTCTTTCTGGTTAATGCTGGAGCAAATAGTCCCCTGAAACCAGCACATCTATATTCCAAAACACTGCTGGTTTTTTTAAGCGCACATTTTGATAAAATAAGGAAATAAGTAAAGTGTTGGACAAGATGCCTACTCTCCATTCCAGGGTACATAGCCTTTTCTTTCTGCTACAAATTAATCTCAGCCAGTCAGCAGAGCAACTTAAACGTGTCTCTCTTAGTTTTTGGGTAAGCCACAAATAAGGTAGTCTAACCTGAACTGCCCTCAATCTTCCCAGGTGTTACTGTCTCATTTAAATAAGTTACACCTGAAAAAGAGAGCTGATTCTGTGGGCAGCTGCTAGGGCACTCAATTAAAACAAGAACACCAGTCATATATGCTATGCCAAGTGGAAAACCATTAACTCCAGGATTAATTCACAAGATAATGTCTTTTTGCCTACCGTTACCAGGAACTGCCATGGCCCAGTGCCTGTTGAAGTAACAGAGTTTCTACTTTAATAAGGACCAAGTCAGACTGCATGTGGTCAGAAGCCTCTTCTTCTTCCAGGTAGTTTCCAGTGTGTATTTATGGTGAGAAATGAGTGTCGCTTTCTTTTTTTCACATTAGGACTGCTGGGCTGAAGAAAATGGGTATAACTTTTCTTTTAATTCTATAATCTTATTATCCCAGCTCCAATAAAAACTGATAATGAAATCTGAGGATATTGAGAACTTGGATTTTTTCCATTAAATTTAACTTGATATTTTTTTCAAGCAATGTGGTACTTACTATAGTCCAACTCTTTTTAAGACTATCCAGGGAAACATAAACCCTTGCAGCGAGCCATTTTCTGTCAAAATTACATCTGACCTGCATATTTTTGCAATTCTCTGATGCATTATACAGTCAGATCAGGTTGTTCCTTGACCAGTTGTTCACCCCTATCAATTGCATTAGCATTTAACCTGTCAGTTTAAATTACAAAGGTAACAAAGGTTTAGGAAGGTTACAATAGATCCAATCTTACACAGAAGTGTAGAAGAATAATCTTAAATCATCCTTCAATTCAAGTGTTATTTTTTCTCCTGACATACATATACTCACCTTCTAGAAACATCACTGTACCTGTGAGCAGCTTTTTATGGTGAGGAGTACATGAGATCAGCAAAGCATGTGATATAAGAGAAGTACCTGCAATAAGACAAACATGTATAATTTATTTGAAATGAGATTATATCTCCTGTACCTTTTCCCATTTTCTCTTCTGTTCTTCATCCTTTTCCATTGTTAAATTTTGTCTTCTCTCTCCGGAGACTTTATTCTTCATTGTGTCTGATTAGTAAATTAGGTCATATTCTGTAGTCTCATAAGCACTTCATCCAGGGCTGGAGTCCATCAGATTCTATTAAATTTTGATCCTTTAAACCTGAAGATACTGTGGCTCGGAAAAGGAGAGACCGGCTTCTCCTCAAACTGTCCATCATCCTGTGTTGCACACTTACATATCTACCACATCAGTTTGTTTGGTTTGGGTGGCTTCTCAAGTAAAATGCCATCAAATACACATAACCCAAGAATGCAGAATTACTATGATACCTCAGCAGCTGGAATAAATGTGAGGACAGTCCCTGCTACCTGCTCAGTTATTTTCAACCTGTAATGCCAGCGCACCAAGACAAAATGCATTCTCTTTTAAGCAATTGAATATGTTTGGAATAGTCTAGAATCACATTCATTTGGCATGGGATCTTTCAAATCTGTGTGTATAACATGAAGGCAAAAGGCATTCTAGTGCAGGTCCTGTGGGGTGGTTCCAAGGTAGAAGGAAGATCTGCAAAATGTTGCCCTCCAGCACCCTGCTGACCCCAGTGCTTCAGGAGAGCAGAGCAGGAAACCACATTTCAGCTGGCTCCGAGTGTGTTTATGAACAATGATGTCAGAACTGCAACTACAGGTTGTCTGAATACAAAATCTGACATAATTCCTATTGCAACTACCCTGCCTATCTCTCTGTACCCCTCCCAGCATCAACACAGGCTGTGTAATAACATCAAAGCACTCCATAGACTTTTGCAAGGCTAAATCAGCATAGCATGAGCCCCAAATGCCACTTTTTCAAGCAACAGGGAAAAACAACCAAACAAAAAATTACAAAAGCAAAATCCTAATTCTGCTAACTTGTAAATGCCATGGAACTTCCTTCATATTTTCTTCCTTTTCCTACTAAAGGTGAAACAAAGGGCTTCTGCCAATAATATTCATATGCACAAAGCTTGCATCAAAGTCATTCTGTCTTTTGTCTGCATGGAAACTGCATCATTAAGGTAATAAAGATGCAGTGTTAAAGGTAAAGCCAGATTGTGGCTGTTACTGAGTTCAGGGAATGCTGTTGCATATTTCTTGTATTATATGTAAATATTTTTAAAATATCGTTTCCGGTGTGTCCAGAATGCATGTTAAAAAGGCTCTAAAAATAACAATGTCTGGCCATATATTAAGTTTTAGCAATAGATAAGTGCTGAAAATAATGTCATTGGAAAAACATTTGAGGCGTATATCTTTGTATGCTTGCACAACTACCAACTTTACCACATGCAGCTGTGTTGCATTAGCTGTGCCATAATGAATGTTTAATAAGCAGAAGGGAGGAGGATGGCCACATTTGCAGAGTGCATTCGCTGCCGGAGTTGGGATGTGCGGGTTCCTGCTCCCTGGAGGCCGAGCAGCTGAGAGGTGAGGCAGAGCTGGGCATGAGCAGGGCATTCAATAGCTGAAATTGTCCAGATGCATAGATATCTTATGATATACTTAAGATATACATATATCTTATGATATACGATATACTTAAATGCATAACTTATTTAAGATCATCATGAAAATCTGTTGAGTATCCAAATACTCAGTACAACCCAGTGCCAGTCAATATGAATTTCCAATGAGTGTTCAGAGCCATACAGGCATCAAAAAGACAATCTTCACAGTGACAAGAATGACTCAGACCTTATTGATGTAACCCACAGTATTAGGCTCTTGAGCAAAGACAGGTAGATTACTCTACGGTTCCATGCCAGGTTTTATTAAAGAGTGCATTGGGAATTGTCAGACTTCTGAAGTCTGCCATAATATCTGTACACTCAGAAGGCTCTTATGGCCTTTACCCAGCAACTCGTATTCTATTCTCACTATACATAGAAAAATGTTAAAGAAAGAAACAGAAGGTGATGTGATTTCCATATTCAGTGCAACATTCACTACTTTACAAACACAGCTGCAGATTTTGCTCTTCCTTGCACTTGGGCAGAGCTAGAATTTCAAATTTTTTGACCCCATCACACCTGCTGTTTATAATGAGACCTGTCTCAAACCTATCTTAACTGGACAGCTGCAGCTATTTCTCCAGAGGAGGTTCCTTTGCCAGATCTGATGGGGGAAGAAATCCCCTAGCAGTGTAGCAGGGGACAGGATGGAGCTGGTGAGCTGATTCACCCAGCACACAGATTTTCAGAACAGATTTCCTGGTGCAAAGCAGTACAAGAAAAAAAAAAATAATAAAGTTTCATTTGAGGGTCCTGACGTACATATATTTTGAAGTATTTTTGTCATTTTTAAAGACTTTTTTTTTCTCTTTGAAGAGCAGAACATTAAAATATCTAAAATGAACTGGCTCCAGATTTATTATTTGTTGCTTCACTCTTATTTCCCTCTTTCCCAAAATAAGCAGTCTTCGTTGTGGAACAGAATATCCACTGCCCCCAAGTGTTCTCAGGAGCACAACAGAGAGATAAAGTTCAATCAGGGAGGTAAAAATATGAGCAAATAACAAAACCACAGACTTTCAATCAGGGCTAGTATTCATGTCCCAACAGCCACAATCAAGCAGCCAAAGCTAAAGTTAATTAAACATTGGTCCTAACCAATGTTTAACTAAAATAAAATAAAAATACGCTTTTCCATGAGTTCACATACCGAATGTTCTGGGGCCACAGATCCTGGCTGTGCTGCTCTGATATATTTGGGTTGTCAACTATAATGTGAGTATGAGGACGCTGCTCTGTCTTCTAGCAAAGAATCGTTCCTGGCAGCAGGAGCCAAATCAAACCCTTATTTCTATAATACCCAACAAAATACACTGGGTCTTTTCTGTGGGACAATTTATAGGGTTAGTGCTTTTATTTTCATAACATAGGATATTATGTCAGCTTTTCATTGCTGGGCAATATACAGCCCTGAATATCCAATACTCCATGAGATGATCTCCAAATGCTATCAGTTTTCTTGCTGCTTCAGTGCTGACATTTGTTCTGCTGATATATTGAAAAATACAGAGAAACGCTTTGTGGGGAAATTCAAAACGTAGTGAATAACATTATCTGAGTGCCCCACTTCCATGATGGTCCCAAAAAAAAAAAAAACTTATCCAAAAAACGGGAATAGAAAAAAACATTCTACTCACAATGGCAAGTGGAGACTTGCAAAAGACTTTTGAAGAGATGAGAGACAGTTTCTTTTGCAGAAATCTGAAAAGTTGAGTGAAAAAAGTTCTTTTAGGAAGGAAAGAAGGAAGGGAGGGGGGCG